GATATTGTCTTTCCCTGGTGGAAAATACTCTGTACCCACCAAGGATTCAAGACTGAGTTGTTTTTCCAATCCATTTGCTTATGCAGTGCATCCCACACTCTTAGTGCCTTACGTGTCAACATGCTGGTGTTTTCATCTAAAATACAAAACTTACAGTTGCAAGAAAAAGTATGTGAACCCCTTGGGATTACGTGGAGTTTTGCATGAATTGGGCATTAAATGTGCTCGGAACGTCATCTAAGTCACAACAATAGAAGAACACAGTCTACTGAACATAAATACTACACAAACATTAGATTTTGCCATGGTTTAATTGCACATAAAATGTAAACATTCACCGTGCAGGGAGGAAAAAGTATGTGAGGCCCTATCTTAATGACTTCTCCCAGAGCTAATTGGAGCCAGGAGTGAGCCAACCTTGACTCCAATCAGTGTGATGATATTGGATGTGTTGCTGACAGCTGTCCTGCCCTTAAAAAACACACACCTGTTTTGGGTTTACTGGTTTCAAGAAGCACTGTCTGATGTGAACCATGCCTCGCAGAAAAGAGCTCTCAGAAGACCTACGATCAAGAATTGTTGACTTGCATGAAGCTGGAAAGGGTTACAAAAGTATCTCCAAAAGCCTTGATGTTCATGTGTCCACGGTAAGACAGACTGTCTACAAATGGAGAAAGTTTAGCACTGTTGCTACTCTCCCTAGGCGTGGTCGTCCTGTAAAAATGACTGCAAGAGCACAGCGCAGAATGCTGCATGAGGTAAAGAGAAGAATCCCAGAGTGTCAGCTAAAGACCTACAGAAATCTCTGGCACATGCTAACATTTTTGTTGACACATCTACAATAAGTAAAAACATTAAAAAGAATTGGAGTACATGGGAGGACACCACGGAGGAAGCCATTGCTGTCCAAAAAGAATATTGCAGCACGTTTGAAGTTTGCAAAAAAGAGCACCTGGATGTTCCACAGCGCTACTGGCAAAATATATACTGTGGGTACAGATGAAACCAAGATTGAGTTGTTTGGGAAGAACACACAACACTATGTGTGGAGAAAAAAAGGCACAGCACACCAACATCAAAACCTCATCCCCACTGTAAAACATGGCGGAGGGAGCATCATGGTTTGGGGCAGCTGCTTTGCTGCCTCAGGGCCTGGACAAATTGTTGTCATTGATGGGAAAATGAATTCCAGAGTTTATCAAGACATTTTGCAGGAAAACGTACGACCATCTGTCCGCCAACTGAAGCTCCGCAGAGGATGGGTGATGCAACAGGACAATGACCCAAAGCATACAAGTAATTCAACAAAACAATGGCAAATGCAACAGCACAGAATACGCCTTCCTGGAGTGGCCCAGTCCTAAAGTCCTGACAACCCGATTGAAATGTTGTGTGGCATGACCTTAAGAGAGCGATTCACACCCACATCCCAAGAATATTGCTACACTGAAACAGTTTTGTGTTGAGTGGTCCAAAATTACTCCACATCCTTGTGCAGGTCTGATCTGCAACTACAGGAAACGTTTTGGTTGAGGTTATTGCTTAAGCCAAAGGAGGGTCAACCAGTTATTAAGTCCAAAGGTTCACATACTTTTTCCTCCCTGCACTGTGAATGTTTACATGTTATGTGCATTAAACCATGGCAACATCTAATGTTTTGTAGTATTATGTTTCAGCAGACTGTTTTTCTTCTATTGTTGTGACTTAGATATTGACGTTCAGAGCACATTTTATGCCCAATTCATGCAAAACTCCACGTAATCCCATGGGGTTCACATACTTTTTCTTGCAACTGTATGTGGTATCCAAATAATCTTCTCTAATTGTGCCTTACTTAAAACCCCTTCCATAATTACCCAACATTTTTTACACAAAACTTTTATATTTAATTATTGGTTTCTTATTAGCCCATATAAATCTGAGTATCAGTTTCTTTAATGTCCCAAAGAAGTACCCTGGTATATGCACTGGGAGCATGTGAAACATATATAAGATTTTTGGCACTATCACCATTTTTATCAAATTTATGCGACCTATCCAGGAAGCCCATCCCCTTGAGAGTCTCCCCAACTCACCATTTATTTCATTTATTAATGCTACATAATTTACCTGGTATAAATTCTTTATTGATGATGTTAATTTTATATCCAAATAGCTTAATTCCCTTTTGCTCAAGGAAAATGGGAATTCTTTTTTTTAGGGTCTGCTTCTCTATCTTTGAGAGACTAATATTCAGGATCTCTAACTTTGAGGGGTTTATCTCAGATTTGATAACTCTCAATATTGTTTTAGTAGTCTCATTAAATTTGGTAGCGATAATCTGGGGTTCACCATATAGAACAACAGGTTGTCTACGTAGGCTGCTACATTATGTTCCAATTCTCCTATCTTAATTTCTGTTGTGTCTACACTCTTTCTGACCATCACTAATAAGGGTTCCAGAGATATTGCAAATAACAGGGGAGATAGTAGGCATCCCTGTCTTGTACCATTCTTCATTTTAAAACACTGTGAGAGGGACCTGTTTACCTTTACTACAGCTGACAGGTCACTATAAAGCCCTTTTATCCATTTTAACATTTCAGGCCCTAATCTCAGCGCCTCTAACTTGTCCATTATAAAACCCCAGTATACCCTATCAAAACGTTTTTGGCATCAATCTACAACATTTTTGTGGGCAGCTTTTCTCTCTTTGCTTTTTGTAAAATAAATAATGATCTCAGGTCATTGTCCCTTCCTTCTCTTCCCGGGATGAATCCCTGATCCAGGTGTATCCATTCCGGCATCAGTTCTTTCATCCTAGTTGCTAATACTTTCGCATATAACTTAGTATCAATATTTAATAATTATATAGGTCTGTAGCTAGCATATTGCGCACCGTCTTTCCCTTCTTTGAGTATGATTGATATATATGCTTGCAATGATTCTTCATTCATTCCCAGCCCTTCTCCTAGCGGGTTCATATATGCGTCTAATCTAGGGGCCAATATATCTTTAAATTTCTTATAGTAACCCACTATATAACCATCTGGACCTTGGCTCTCTCCTGCTGCCATACTCTTCACTGCCAACGTAATTTCCTCCTGGGAGATGGCTCTCTCTAGGGCCTCTAACTTTTCATCTGGATTTCTTGGTAGACTACCTCCTTTAGGTATTTCTGCCTTTTTCTCTTCCTTTCCTCCTCTGTTTCTTTCTGGTTCCCGTTCTTTACATCATACAACCTACTATAATATTTTTGAAACATATTAGCGATGTCAGTGGTGGAATATACCAATTCTCCTTTTTCATCTTTAATTTTTTCTATATAATTCTTTGATTTCTTTTCCTTTAGTCTTTTCATTAGCAATTTCGTAGCTTGATTCCCCCACTGATACCATTCCTTAGAGACCATATTAATGATCCTCCTTGTTTCCAATTCTATAAGATCTTTTAATTCTTCTCTTTTAAGGGTTATCTTCTGAAGTATATCTGGATCCAGTTTCTTTTTGTGTAACTTCTAAGTTATATAACTCTTCTGACACCAACCTTATTTTTTTCTCCTGGTCTTTCTTTTTTTCGGCCCCCATTGAAATCATACAATAGTACCATTATGGACTCAACAAATTTCATCCTAATAACTATAAGACAACCAAATGAAAGCTCCAAAAACATTTTTTAGAGCAAAATTCCACTGGTGTATGGCCTGCTTAATCACTACCCGTCCTGCCCATGTACATAAACGGCCGTAAGGGAGCAGTGCAGGAGTGGGCCTCCGCATTCACTGCCTGTGCGTGCTGCCAGGGAGAGCGCAGTAGCATGACCCGGTGCCTGCTGTGTCCGGAGGACACAGCAGAACACCGATCACTGTATGGGACCTCTGTGTGAGGAACAGTAATAAGCAAGATGTCACTTCCTGACATCATTGCTTACTACGTGTGAAATCTGTGAATGATCACAGAGGTCACATGGTACAAGGCTATTCACAACAGCCTTGTACCATGTGACAAGCTGTGACCAATCACAGCTCTCATAGTATTTCTCAATGGCTACAGGAATGCAGTCAGAGAGAAGGAGAAATGATTGCTTTTACAGCCTTTATGGGTGTAAAAGCAATCAGTCTAAAAAAAGAAAACAAAAATCTTTATCACCCCCCACAAGTAGTACAATGTCACTATGGTGACACTGTACTGCTAGGGTGACGGTATGTTAAAAAAAAAACAAAAATAATAATATAAAAAAATAAAATAAAAATGTAAAAAAAATGTAAAAATTATAATTTTTAGGTTATAAACTAATTTGGTTTTTTTTTTTTTTTTACTAAAAAGATAGATGAATACATTTTGGCCAAGATTTATGAAGAAAGATTATTTATTTGCAAAACACTTTTTTTTTCCAAAATGTTTGGACTTTTTCATTTATATAGCAAAAAAAAAAAATTTCCAGTGGTGAATAAATACCACCAAAATTAAGTTTTATCTGTCTCAAAAAAATGCTAAAAAATTCATATGGGTACGGTGTTGCATGACCGCGCAATTGTCATTCAAGCGTGATAGCACTGAAAGCTGAAAATTGGCCTGGGCAGGAAGGGGGTGAAAGTGTCCGGACTTGAAGTGGTTAAGTAAGTGAATTACCAAGGGCATGTTTAGAAATGCCTTAGCACTCTAAAAATGATCTGCAATGGATTGCAAATTTCAATCCATGTGTGGCTGCTTCTGCTAGACAGAAGTCAATCTACAGTAACAATCAGCTTCTGTTACATGAGCTTGTTGGAAAATTCTTCCTCCATCAGCAGCTGCAGCCAATGAGCTGCATCCACTGATCAGTATATATATTTTTTTTCATTCAGCCCGCTGGTTGAATGAAGAAAACCATCCATTTATGGTCAGCTTAAGAATTGGTAAGCTGCAATTTAATATATTTTGCTTTTACGGTTTAGTACCACTTTAATGGAATACACCATAAGTATAAATAGAATAACTATATGGCTTTTTGAGTGATAATCATAATGATTTTCATTACAGCTCTGATTTTAATTCCTGGGACAACACAACTTACAGCAAAAGACATTCTACACAGACTACAGACATCAGATGCAAAGTGCATTATAGCTCATGATGCCTTGGCACCAGTTATAGACAGTATTGCAGCACAAGCTCCATGCTTGAAAAACAAAATGGTGGTATCTGGAAGTCCAAGAGGAGGGGTGGCTGAATTTCCAAGAGCTTCTCCGGTAAGTATTTTTATTAAGCCTTTTCTGCTTGCAATACACTAATACTGTGATATGAAACTTTCCTTGAACTGGTTTCAGGGCAGCTAGTGACAAACACACCTGTGTGAGGACAAGGAGCACCGACCCAATGACTATCTATTTCACTAGTGGAACAACCGGCGCTCCAAAGATGACAGAACATAGTCACTGCAGCTTTCCCATTGGATTAACTGTTAATGCAAGGCAAGTAGCGTAATGTCACATCTGACTCTTCAATACCTTGCTGTTAGGAGAATATGATATTGAAAATACTAATAAACAGGTTGCCTGAGAGTACTGCTGAGAATATAATGAGTACATGCTGAGGATATCTGCTGATGTATCTTTTACAGCCAGCTGCAAATTTGAATTCTAGTGATTTTCTCAACTAATGCGCTTTCTACATATCAGTGGAAATGCATTAAGTTTTAATTCCAAGTGTAGTTTGTATTGCATTGGACCAATATAAGTATGTATGAATATACATATACAGTGGGGATCGAAAGTTTGGGCACCCCAGCTAAAAATTTGTATTAATGTGCATAAAGAAGCCAAGGAAAGATGGAAAAATCTCCAAAAGGCATCAAATTACAGATTAGACATTCTTATAATATGTCAACAAAAGTTAGATTTTATTTCCATCATTTACACTTTCAAAATAACAGAAAACAAAAAAATGGCGTCTGCAAAAGTTTGGGCACCCTGCAGAGTTAATATCTTGTACTGCCCCCTTTGGCAAGTATCACAGCTTGTAAACGCTTTTTTGTAGCCAGCCAAGAGTCTTTCAATTCTTGTTTGAGGTATCTTTGCCCATTCTTCCTTACAAAAGTCTTCCAGTTCTTTGAGATTTCTGGGCTGTCTGTCACGCACTGCTCTTTTAAGGTCTATCCATAGATTTTCAATTATGTTGAGGTCAGGAGATTGTGAAGGCCATGGCAAAACCTTCAGTTTACGCCTCTTGATGTAATCCCCCGTGGATTTCGAGGTGTGTTTAGGATCATTATCGATTTGTAGAAGCCATCCTCTCTTTAACTTCAGCTTTTTCACAGATGGCATCAAGTTAGCATCCAAAATTTGCTGAAATTTTATTGAATCCATTTTTCCTTCTACTCGTGAGATGTTCCCTGTGCCACTGGCTGCAACACAACCCCAAAGCATGATTGATCCAACCCCATGCTTAACAGTTGGACAGAGGTTCTTTTCATTAAATTCTGTGCCCCTTCTTCTCCAAACGTACCTTTGCTCATTCTGGCCAAAAAGTTCAATTTTAACCTCATCGGTCCACAGAACTTGTTTCCAAAATGCATCAGGCTTGTCTATATGTTCATTTGCAAAGTTCAAACGATGATTTTTGTGGTGAGGACGTAGAAGAGGTTTTCTTCTGATGACTCTTCCATGAGGACCATATTTGTACAAGTATCTCTTTATAGAGGAATAGTGTACCACAACTCCAGTGTCTGCCAGATCTTTCTGGAGGGATCGTGCAGTCAAACGTGGGTTTTGAATTGTTTTTCTCACAATCCTGTGAGCTCTTCTGTCTGATACTTTTCTTGGTCTTCCAGATGTTGCTTTAACTTCCACTGTTCCTGATGACTGTCATTTCTTAATTACATTCCGAACAGAGGATATTGACATCTGAAAACGCTTTGCTATCTTCTTATAGCCTTCTCCAGCTTTGTGAGCGTCAACTATTTTCAGTTTCAGTTTTCTAGACAACTGCTTAGAAGAACCCATGGTGCTGATTGTTGGGGCAAGGTCAGATGAGTCTGGGCATTTAAAACCTTTGAGATTGACATCACCTGGTCTTCCCAGACGATTGAGAACAATCCATGACACTGGCAGGTCTCAGCTTTGCAAAGGGGGCAGTGCATGCTATAAATTCTGCAGGGTGCCCAAACTTTTGCAGACCCCATTTTTTTGTTTTCTGTTATTTTGAAAGTGTAAATGATGGAAATAAAATCTAACTTTTATTGACATATTATAAGAATGTCTAAAATCTGATAAATTCGATGCAATTTTAAGCTGGGGTGCCCAAACTTTCGATCCCCACTGTACATAATGCATTTCCACTATACCTGTCGGATCTCTGAAACATGGAGAAACATGGAGAATCACTGTAGTAAGTTTTCATTCCAAGTGTGGTTTGTATTGCATTGGACCAATATACAGTAAGTATGTATATTCTATACCTGTGGGATCTCTGAAACATGGAGAAACATGGAGAATCACTGTAGTAGTGGACACTGCTACAATGATTGCCATAGTCTTCAGGGTCTCATGCTAAGTGGCTGCATAGTCTGGGCACTGCCATTCAGAGATTGCCTTAGTTTTCCCTCAGTGAATGCAACATGCTTTTAGAGTGATGAAGTAGAGAGGCAGGGCAGTGACATCGAAATATTCGCCTGGTCCAATTAGAGAATGCTTTTGCATTCAATGATAACCATGCAGTGAATATTTGTGAAGTATCCTCTTGCGCTCAACATATCCATGATATGTGACAGCTCAGATACCCTGATCTCATTAATCAGACTGGGCTAGTTGCTTGCAGCACAAAGTGATTCTCACTGACCAAAGACAATGGGAATAATAATATTTCTCTAACAATTATGGGTAATCTGTGGCTATCAGCCAGTTTGCATGCCAAGGACCCAGCCATCAAGCTGGAGATAAGGCACCTCACAGGCCTATTAGACATGGTGAGCACATGGGCTTCCTTACATATTCAAGTATTGTCACCTTGTGACAGAAAACATTTTTGGTCTAAAATATTGTGATGTTTTGAAAGTGCTACATTTGGAAAGACGTTTTGTTTATGCTTATATAACCTGCCTTTTTATAAATGGTCACAATTTTCTGATATATTTTACTCTATGTATTTTCCAATAAAATATTACAATAAAAAATATTAAGCAGTACTGGCTTCCTTTTGTAGGTATTGGCTGGACTTGTCACCTTCAGATGTGTTTTGGAATGCTTCAGATACAGGCTGGGCAAAGTCAGCTTGGAGCAGTGTCTTTGCTCCTTGGATCCAAGGTTCATGTGTATTTGCCCACGGCATGCCAAGATTCGATGCAGCTGTCATTTTGGAAGTAAGTTACATGAAAGTAGTCTAATGGAACAATTATTATACAGTATACCAGATTATAAATCATTAGTAAAGATATTTTCGAAGAGTAAAAGTTGATGTACACACAGGTCACATTCCCATGGCTCTCAGACACATTTAAAAAATGTATCTGCAGATTGGTTCATGTTCGCCTGATCTGCAGGCCTTCTGAGTTGACCCTTTGTTCTGCCTGTTTGCCAGTCTTCCTCCATGACTGGCTAGAACATGCAGAACTAACCACTACCTCTTTCATAGGAACAAATTTACTTGTAGGTTTGTACAACAGTCATTTTAAAACCATTCGTTAGGGTGGCTGGCTTGTGCGTCAGAAATGCATCTCAGCATCAGAACGGCATTATGGCTAGCGTACATGATTCAGAAGGTCAGACACAGAAAAGCTGATTGCGAACAGATCATTCCTAGACCAATTCAAAATGCTTCTGAGATGTATTCACATTGGCATGTGTATACAGTGAGGAACAGAAGTATTTGAACACCCTGCGATTTTGCAAGTTCTCCCACTTAGAAATCATGGAGGGGTCTGAAATTCACATTGTAGGTGCATTCCCACTCTGAAAGACAGAATTAAAAAAAAAAATTCAGGAAATCTCATTGTATGATTTTTAAAGAATTTATTTGTCTTGCACTGCTGAACATAAGTATTTGAACACCTAAGAAACAGCAAGAATTCTGGCTCTCAAAGACCTGTTACTGTGCCTTTAAAAAGTCCACCTCTACTCCACTGATTAATCTAACTTAGTAGCACCTGTCTGAGCTCTTTAAAGACACCTGTCCACCCCACAGTCAGTCAGACGTCAACTACTACCATGGGCAAGACCAAAGAGCTGCCAAAAGACACTAGAGACAAAATTGTGAACCTCCACAAGGCTGGAAAGGACTTCGGGGGCAATTGCCAAGCAGCTTGGTGAAAATAGATCAACTGTTGGAGCAATTGTTAGAAAATGGAAGAGGCTAAAGACGACTGTCAGTCTCCCTCGGACTGGGGCTCCATGCAAGATCTCACCTCGTGGGGTATCACTGATGATAAGAAAGGTGAGGAATCAGCCCAGAACTACAAGGGAGGAGCTGGTCAATGACATGAAGAGAGCTGGGACCACAGTTTCAAAGGTCACTGTCGGTAGAACACTACGCCGTCATGGTTTCAAATCATGCATTGCACGGAAGGTTCCCCTGCTCAAGTCATCACATGTTCAGGCCCGTCTGAAGTTTGCCAATGACCATCTGGATGATCCAGAGGGGGCATGGGAGAAAGTCATGTGGTCAGAGGAGACAAAAGTAGAACTTTTTGGTCTAAACTTCACTATTCGTGTTTGGAGGAAAAAGAAGGATGAATTGCATCCCAAGAACACCATCCCTACTGTGAAGCATGGGGGTGGTAACATCATGCTTTGGGGGTGCTTTTCTGCGAACGGGACAGGACGACTGCACTGTATTAAGGAGAGGATGAATGGGGCCATTTATTGTGAGATTGTGAGCAACAACCTCCTTCCCTCAGTCAGAGCATTGAAGATGGGTCATGGCTGGGTCTTCCAACATGACAACGACCCGAAGCACACAGCCAGGATAACCAAGGAGTGGCTCTGTAAGAAGCATATCAAGGTTCTGGAGTGGCCTAGTGGTCTAAATCCAATAGAACATCTTTGGAGGGAGCTGAAACTCCGTGTTGCTCAGCGACAGCCCCGAAACCTGACAGATCTAGAGGAGATCTGTGTGGAGGAGTGGGCCAAAATCCCTGTTGCAGTGTGTGCAAACCTGGTCAAGAACTACAGGAAACGTTTGACCTCTGTAATTGCAAACAAAGGCTTCTGTACCAAATATTAACACTGATTTTCTCAGGTGTTCA